ATAATAACAACAATAAACAAACACATAGAGAAAAAAAAAAAAAAGAATGGAAGAAGTGCAGACTACCTGTAAGCTAATGAGAATTTTCTAGTAGAGAACAACCATTTGAATGTATAGGTAAAACAGGTAAGAATTACTAGAGCAAAGTTCTTGAGTAGAAAAGAGGGGACAAAATTTAGTGCACAAGTACAGAGTTCTGTTTTACATAAAAGCAAGAACAATTCATTGTTAAGGCATGAAGTCAAGTGCAAATGTCATAGGTCTGTAGAGATGGTACTGCGAATCAACGGACGTTGTGTTCTCACAGTGTCTGATCTTCATTTCATTTCACCTGGTTCATATTTTTTCTTGATGAAATGTTATACCTGTTGATGTAGTCAATTTCACTAACCTTTTTCTATAGGGTTTGTAGTTTTTGTATCTCGTTAAAATTCTTCCCTTACTTGATGTGATTAAAATTGTCCCTATATTTTATTCCATAAATTTTGCTTTTTATGTTTAATCCTTTCATCTATCCAGATCGCATTTTTTTAGGGTAAAAATTATAAAAGGTAGGAGAAACATTAGTAGTCTAATTTGAATTTTAAAAATTAAAGATGTATTTGGGACTCATTAATATACCAATACTTTGTCTCCTAATAATGAATTACAGTATACCTTTTCATTTATTGTGGTTTACTTTTTTGTTTTTTTCAATAAAGTCCTACCCATATTTGGTTAGAAAAAAAAAAAAATAGATACTTGAGGAGACAGGATTCCAAAAAGTTCACTCCCCACAAAATTTTGACCTGCTGGTTAAAAGTATTCTCATAACTACAAAAGAGAAAATTAAAAGAAAGGCTCCTTTTCAAAGATAATGTTTACAGTTACATAAGCAAATACCTATAGATATTTGCTCAACAAAGGAATCCCATTTACCTGAACAAAGACCTTGCACACTTTCTTTACAGGTACTCCTACCAAAAACAAAATGACACAAAACAAAAAAACTGATAGTAATATTTAAATACTAATATTTAAATATTTAAACCAGAAACAAAATCTGATTGAAGAATTTTCTCTACTTCTTCCTTAGGTGACTTAATCTCTATATTTCTTAGAAAGCCTTCCAAGTTCTTCCCAGCTATCATGTCACCTTCAAGCAAATCAAGAGCTAAGACAATCTCCCGTAACTCTGGAAATAGAAAAAAGCTATTTAGTGAGTGATTTAAAAAACAACAACAGTAGCCATCACTAAAGACTTTTGTCAGTGGCAGCTCATGGATTATTATCATACTCTGAACTGAGGAATAAGAAATTTCAGCAAAGACTCCAGCCCTCAGGGAATTCTATGTCCAACAGCACAATATGCAAAGAGTTTTTGGCCTATCATGTTTCTCTGGTGCTAATATAAAATTGGCACAACCAAAATGACACACTAGGGAGAAGGACCTGGCCACCCACTTGCGAAAAAACTGACCATGAAAACCTTGTGAATAGCAGCAGGACACTGCCATAGGGCTGGAAGGTAAGAGGATGGCACAAAAAAGACCAGGCAGGGTTTCACCTCAGAAACAAAAAAGGGATTAAAAATAGCTTTAAACAGACCTCCTTCTAGAAAAAGCCTTTTTTCTTTCATTATGGAAGTTGCCAACTTTTAATCAAAACCAAGTTTTGCTTGCCTATAAACAGATCAATGCCAACATGTTAACCAGAAATTAGCAGAACCAGAAATCCTAAGAAACAAAACAAAACAAAACGATACCCAATAAATAAAAGTAAATTTAACAGTCACGAATAAACCAATACTTACCTTCTAACCTGGAGGCATCATGCATATCCTTTACCACTTTTGCAAATTCTTCAATTTGTATTTTGTCACCTTCTGCAAGAAAAACCTTTTTAATATATCAGCCTCACTAAGCAGAAGTCAGGATCCAATTAAGCAATCTATAAAAACGTAAATCATTTGATGTACTCATAAGAACCATATTTTCTTTTCATATTGTTGAGTAACCAAAAGATTAATTTTATGGAATGAATAAATCTGAAGATTACAGAAGTCAGGCTTTTTTAATTTCCATCAATCAAGAGAAACTATGCAATTCATATTCCTAGAGATAAAACTAGAAGACAAAGCTCAGTTTTAGTTTAGCCTTGCAAATGTTTAAAGATAAAAATACTGTACCAGATAACTTTAAAAACTTTTTCAAACATGAGATGATTCTATAACTATCATTTCTGACACAGGTTTACATTCATTTCTTTCACAAGAACACACAAGTACTACATTACAAAGTCAAAGTGACAAGCGCAGGAGTCAGAGGCAGCTTTGTTTTCCCAGTCAGGAACAGGGAAACTCAGTCCAAGGATTTAGAATTACTGTAGTTTATGATCATAGACTACAAGGCAGCAGGGCCAGCAAGGCGTATCACAAGCAGATAAGAACCTGCCTAGGGTTTAAACTATATAGATACAATGGCCAATCGGTATATGAAAAGGTGCTCAACTTCACTAATCGCCAGGGAAATGCAAATCAAAATCACAATGAGGTATCATCTCACACCTGTTAGGATAGCTATTATCAAAAAGACAAGGGCCAGCCCCAGTCGCCTTGTGGTTAAGTTTGGCGCACTCTGCCTCAGCGGCCCGGGTTTGGTTCCTAGGTGCAGAACTACACCCACCCATCAGTGGCCAGGCTGTGGCAGCAGACCACATACGAAATAGAGGAAGACTGGCAACAGATGTTAGCTCAGGGGCATCTTCCTCAGCAAAAAAAAAAAAAAAAAAGATAACAGAAGAGATAACAAATGCTGGTGAGGATGTGGAGAAAAGAGAACCCTTATACATTGTTGGTGTGAATGTAAATTGGTACAGCCATTATGTAAAACAGTTTGGTGGTTCCTCAAAAAATTAAAAATAGAACTACCATATGATCCAGCAATCCCACTCTTGGGTATATATCCAAAGGAAATGAAATCAGTATCTCAGACAGATATCAATGCAGCATTATTCACAATAGCCAAGAAATAGAAACAACCTAAATCTCCTTTGATGGATAAATGGATAAATAAAATTGTAGTATACACACACACACACACACACACACACACACAAACACACACAAAAGAGTATTATTCAGCCATAAAAGGAAGGAAATCTTGTCATTTGTGACAACATGGATAAACCTGGAGGGCTTTATGCTAAGTGATTAAGCCAGACAGAGAAAGATAAATACTGTACGGTATCACTTATACGTAGCATCTAAAAAAAAAAAAAAAATCTTTTTTTACTTGCTAAGTAGAGGTGGCAGCCACTAGCAGGTGTGTTTTCCTAGCAAATTAAATAAAAGCCTATTTCAACAAAACAGTATGCATATCTCAAGTAATGTTAATATAAAACTGGAATAGACCTCTCAACATTTATTAATAATCAGCTCTGTGTTCACTGGGATATGCCATTTTCCAATAACATGTTACACAACTTGAAGGTAGTCTATGCATGTTTGGTCAATTTAAAGTAATAATAAATTAGATATTAGTAATTTTTCTATAGGACAACCAAACAATCTGAGCTTTCTGTATATTACCTAAATGTATATACAGGCATGTCAACCAAATACAAGATACAAGGACAAATAAAGATTGATAGAAGATAAAAACCATATTTTTGCATATCTTTTAATCTTATTATTTGGAATACTCACTGGCAACTGTTGCTAATTCTAGTGCAGCTAGGAATTCGTCTTTTTTTAAATTACTATTCAAACCAGACAGTGTGTCCCACAGGTCGGAAGCACTCATCTTCTCTTTGCTGAGATTGTGGAGGTTTTCAATAGTACGAAGTAATACTAAAATGCAGTTAAAACAAAACTTTTACAACGTGCTTGTCCAAGAAGTTAATACAGTAAATTATTATCTGGAATAGTCAGGAATTGAGGTTTTTATGAGAACAACAAATACAGCATAATTGAATTGCCAATTTTCAAATATTAAAACAATAAAATATTTAACACCATGGGGCCAGCCCCGTGGCGTAGCGGTGCGTGCTCCGCTGCTGGCAGCCCAGGTTCGGATCCCGGGTGCGCACTGATGCACCGCTTGTCAGGCCATGCTGTGGCGGTGTCCCATATAAAGTGGAGGAAGATGGGCACAGATGTTAGCCCAGGGCCAGTCTTCCTCAGCAAAAAGAGGAGGATTGGCATGGATGTTAGTTCAGGGCTGATCTTCCTCACAAAATAAAATAAAATAAAATAAAATAAAATAAAATAAATATTTAACGTCAAATCTAGTGTACCTTTGAAGGTTCTGAAATATTTCAAGAACTTACAGTTCTCCCACCCCTGAATAATCATTATAAAGAATAATTTTCATTGACCTATAAATTTACAGAAGTCTGAATTCACAAACATGTTCAACTGGTAAAACCATGTAAATAGTTTTTGCTCTGTATCTGCCCCCCAAATTCTTCCCTGGATCCTACTTCCTCTTCAGTCTACCACTGCAGACCATGGAAAGAAGTTTCGTTTCTATTAAAATTCCAATAGCAAACCTTTGAAAGGGTTTTCACAGGGGAGTGAAATTATCTTACTACAAATGTATAAAAGATCACTCTGCTGTGATATAGAGAACAGACTCTGGAGAATCAGGCAGTTTAGGTAGCTACTATAGTAGTTCAGAGAAGATGATAACAATGGCTTCAACAAGGGTGATAGTGATGGAGATAGTACGAAGTAGACAAATATAGGATGTATTTTGAGAATGAAACTGAGTATTTAGTGATGAACTCAATGAGAGGCTGAGGGGGTTGGGGCCATGAAGAACTACTAGGTTTGAGACCTGAGCAACTGAGTAGATAGTGCTGTCAATAACTGAGATCAGAAAGACTGGGGAAATAATAAGTTTGTTGGAGAACAAGAATTCTTTCTTATACAAGTTAAGTTTGACATAAATAAGGAGTCAAAAGATATAGATATTATTTAAAGCAGTAAGATCACTCATGAAGAGCATTAGAGAATGGGACTCAGAATGGAGTCTGGGATCATACTAATATTTAAAAGTCAGCCAGAAAAGAAGCAGCCAGCAAACAAGACCAAAAAGGAAGGACCATCTATACAATGGAATATTATTCAGCCACGAGAAAGAAATCCTGCCATTTGTGACAACATGGATGGACCTTGAGGGCACTATGCTAAGTGAGATAAGTCAAACAGAGAAAGACAAACACTGTATGATCTCACCTATATGTGGAATCTAAAAATGCAGAACTCTAGAAACAGAGAGTAGAATGGTGGTTACTAGAGGCTAGTGGGTTGGGGAATGGGGGCGGGGTTGGTCAAAGGATACTAACTTGCAATTAGAAAATGAATAAGTTCTGGGGATCTAATGCACAGCATTGTGATTATAGTTAACAATCCTGTATCAGACACTTAAAAGTTGCTAAGAGATTAAATCATAAATGCTCTCACCACAAAAAAGAAATGATAATTATGTGATGGGATAGAGGTGTTAGTTAACACTATGGTGGTAATCATATTGCAATATATAAGTGTATTAAATCAACATGTACACCTTAAACTTACATAATATTATATGTCAATTATGTCTCAATTTTTTAAAAAAGGAAGAGCCAATAAAATGGGAATGAAATTAGGAGATTACAGTGTTACAGAAAACACGAGAAGAGAAATTTTCAAGAAGAAACACAGATTAAAAGCTGCTAGAGGTAAGCAAGAAGAAGACAGAAGATTAGCCACTGAATTTAGCAAGATGAAATTTAACTTTTTGTGAAAAGCTAGTGTGGAGTGGCGAGTTCAAAAACTTGAATGAGTGTTTTTAAAGAGAGAACTGGCAATATAGTAGACTGAGGATAGCCAGATTCCCCTTCCACCTCCAACACAAAACTATTCCACACTAAATTAAAAATATCAATAAAAATAATATTTGGTAATGGATTGAATGAGGGGGAGTAGGAACAGCGGAGCTAGGGCCATAAGGGGAAAAAAGGGATCAAGAATGACTCCTAACTTTTGGGCCTAAACAACTGGATGCTAAGCTCAAAAGAAAGGCAAATCACCAGATGCCAGAAATGAGGAAAAAATATTAACTATGTATGTGCCTGAGCTGATGTCACAGCAGTCAGATGGTATAACATAGAAGTTAAGAGAATAAACTTTACCTGAGTTCTAATCTTAACTCTACCACATACTAGCTATGTGATTTTTTTTTAACCTCTGTACCCTGGTTTTCTCATCTATAAAATAAACATAATAATAGAGTTGATATGAGAATTAAATGAATTAATAAATAAAAAGCATTTAGAAATGTACTGGTACATAGCACTCAATAAATGTAATAATAATAATTATTATTATTATTATGTGGTACATACAAGTCTAGAGTTGTAATTGAGATGCTTAGTTAAAGCCAGCACCCTGGAAAGTCTTCCCATCTGAAAATTATGACTAAAAACACTTTAGTCACCTTTTTAGGAATTTAGGAAGAAAACTCGTTCTCTGCCTGAGGTCTGGATGGGGAAAAATGTCTCCAATGATAATCTAAATCCCAAGGTCATCATGTGCAAGTGTCAGGTTCCAAATCGAACAATTTACGTAATATATAAATCCCAAATGAAAAATAAACATAAAACTATGATAGTTAATTATCTTTATGGGAAAAAAATTTAATTGGATCCCAATTGCACCCCAAACATAAAAATCAATTCCAGGTGAATTAAAGATTTAAATACAAAAAGAAAAACTTTAAAACTTTTAGAAGAAAATATTGGGAAATATCTTAATGTCCTCAAAATAGAGACAGGCTTCTATTTTGTCTACAAAGGTAAAGTTATCTGCTAAACTTGAGAAGGGTAGAGGTTGGGGTAAGAATGGAAGTTTAAGAGAACGGAGATTTTTAATAGTTGTTTCAGAGAGTGGGAGAAAAAGCAAACTGGGAAAAAAAATCACATAATTCCTAGGTAGTACTGATGGCCAGCAGACATTAACGATCAAAATTTTATAGTGGTACCCTGTTCAATCTGCTCAGCCGTGTAATTTTCTCCAGAAATGCTGTCAGCCACAAGGGGAAGGCAGATATTGGATTCATTTGGGGTTAGGAGTTTTGTCAGACAGGTGCAACAAAAGTACAGAGGAGCGAGGGAGTTTAGAGTATTAGAGAGATATATATAAGAGAATTTAAAATGGATAAGGAGGAAAAGTGAAAATAGGGGGAGACTGGTGGATAAGGAGAAAGTAGAGGGTTAAATGGATAGAAGGTCCCAATGAGGTATATAGAACCAATAATGAGTGTGACGAAGAAATGAGCAGCCAGATGAAGAAAAAGGACAAGAAGTAAATATCAACATTAAGAATGAGAAAGGAAATACAACTACAGATATGAATAAGATAATATACTATACAACTCCGTGCTAATAAAATTTTTTATCTTCATGAAATTGAAATTCCTAGGAAAAATGAAGTGACTGACAGTGCAAATAATCTCTTCATCCAATTAATCTATTGTGTTCTCTTGTATAGGAGACAAATTAAATTGATTTACATTATAAATTAAAAATAGCTGTTACTGGGCCGGCCCAGTGGCTTAGCGGTTAAGTGCGCGCGCTCCGCTACTGGCGGCCTGGGTTCAGATCCCAGGCGCGCACCAACGCACTGCTTCTCTGGCCATGCTGAGGCCACGTCCCAGGTACAGCAACTAGAAGGATGTGCAACTATGACATACAACTATCTACTGGGGTTTTGGGGGAAAAAAGGAGGAGGATTGGCAATAGATGTTAGCTCAGAGCTGGTCTTCCTCAGCAAAAAAAAGAGGAAGATTAGCATGGATGTTAGCTCAGGGCTGATCTTCCTCACACACACAAAAAAATAGCTGTTACTTAAAATGCACTATTACCTAATATGTAAGCACAAAATAACACAATGCTACTTTTAGCCTCAATTTTTAAAGTACTAACTTCACTCTATTTAAAATGCACAGATATGACCTTACATTTCTTTATGGTGAACTTCTTAGTGGCAAAGACTGTCTTTATCATCTTAGCATACTCACAGCTTAACATAAAGCCTGGTACATAAGGATGGCTCAATGAATGTTATTGAATAAATTGGAAGATGGATAAAATACAAACAGCTAAAACCAGAAATTCTGCATTATTGTACTCAACTATAGTCACTGGATGGCATCACTTTCCCAAATTCGGAAGACATTTTAAATCTTCCCTAAAATGAATTTCATATACCTCGTTCTAGCTCTCTATAGTAAGTGTGAGGATGAAAAGTAAGATTAGGATAGCTTTCAATTCATTTGCATGTGGCAGTTGTTCTAGATTTAGGGATCAGTAATGGAGACGATGAAGGCCAAACATATCAGCATTAAGCCAGGCATTTATTTGCCTGATGACCTGTAGGATGACTAGATCTTTTAGTATATTATACTCTCCTAAAATCTATCAAACATTTTAGCCCACAAAAAACACAAGATATGATGTTCTTACATACACAATTTTTCAGAAAAGCGTTCCGTGTTATTCATCATAGTATCAATGAATTCTTTAAAATTCACTTTTTTCTTTTCTAAAGGGAAAAGAACACATTTTTTCTTTAGTATCTTCAAGTATTAAATTATTATGACAAATATTGAATTATGTAAAATAAGTTATATATTCAGGGAGATAGCATAATTATATCCATTAGCTAATACTAACCACTAAAAATGTATGAGTATAAGGGGGAAAAGCAATTCAATTTACAAGTAAAAAGTAACCACCGAAAAACGCTAAGAAAATTAATCAAAATCCTTCTAGTCACAAGTGTACAACATTTTTAACTTTTAACTTACATTATCTTGTCTTGGCCTTGAAACAACTCAGTAAGATATGTAGGTGAAGAATTAGTGTTATTTTATATATTAAAAAAAACAATACTTATACATGATAAAGTGATTTTTTTCCAACGTCATAAAAGGAAATGCAAGATCAGGGATTAGAAGTGAGTTCTCTTGACTCCTGGTTTCTTCCACACTGGGCTACCATTCACATTGGTATCTTTACTTCAGTATACTATTGAAACCATTAAACGTTTTAATAGTCATTTTATACCTAGAAAATGTCTCTCCTTGATTATATAAAATTTCTCATAATATCCTTATGTTAGAATGGATAAAAAATTTCTAAGAATTCTCAAGGCCACATATAAAGGTTTTATACAGATATGACGAGCATTTAATAACCCTAGTCCTTTGCTTACCTCGCTGAGGGAAAAAAAATTCTAATGTGCTGTAAAAGATGAAGCACGGCCTATTCTCTATTCCTAAGATTAAATATCTCCCAGCAGTTTACTCCAAGGAGCACCAAATCCCTTTGTATTCTTAGCTAAATATTTGAAGACTTAAAAAAAAATGAGACCCTGAAAAATTCTGGGGGAATGTTAGAGTTAATAAAGATTTACATTCCCTAACAGGAACATATAACTTTCTAAAGCAATAAATTCCCTTATTTTTGATAATGTATATTTGATACATAAAAAGAATATTTGTAACATATATTAGTTATGAAGCATGATAATAAATCAAACTCCTGTGAACCCACCACTCAAAGGAAGAACATTATTAATACCACTGCATCTGCTTCTGAGCTTTTCCCATTCCATTCTCCTGCTTCCCCCACAGAGAGAACATTACTGAATTTTTTTAATTTACCAATCTCTTGTTTTCTTACATATAATTTTAAACAGGATAAACAAATTATTCCTTAATTTTGTCTTCAAGCTCTATAAAAATTGTTAGCATGCTAGAGCAATCTGAGACTTGCTTTTCTTATTCACTATTGTACTGCTAAGAATCATCCATATAGTATATTGCTATAGCTCACCAGTTCCACTAATGTATATACCATTAGTATTCCCTTATACACCAATGGTATATACCACAATTTATTTATACATCATTCTGTCACTGATCATGTTGGGTTTTTGTTTTTGTTGGCTATTGAGATCAGTGCTGCCATGAACATTCTTGAACATATCTCCTTGTACATTACTGCAAGAGATTTTTTGGGATTTATAGCTAAGAGTGGATTTTCTAAGCCATAGGGTATGAAAACCTTACAAAATACTACATAATGTTTTTCAAAGTTGTTTTACCATTTTTGCCATATTTACCAACACTTAGATTAATAGATTTCTTAATTTTCCCCCATTTAGTGAGTATAAAAAAATATTTCATTGTGACCTAAATTTTGCATTTCCCTGATTACCAATGATGTTGAGGATTTTTTCATGTGATTATTAGTAATTTGTGTTTCTTCATCTGGAAATGGCTGTTCTTGTAATTTAGCCATTTTTCTATTGAGTTTTTAATTTATAGGGGTTTCCTATATATTCTCCAAAATAATCCTTTGCTGTTATAAGTGTTGCAAATAATCTTCACTCAGTTTGTGGCCTGTGCTTTCATTTTCTTTGTATTATCTTTTAATAAAGAGAAGTTCTTAATTTTAGTGTGGTCAAATTTATCAATCTTTTCTACTTAGTGATTTGGTATCTTTAAAAAATCCCTCCTACACTAACAATGAAGCAGCAGAAAGATAAATTAAGAATACAACCCCAGGAGCAAGCCCAGTGGCATAGCGGTTAAGTTGGCATGCTCCACTTCAGCGGCCTGGGGTTTGCAGGTTCATATCCCAGGCATGGACCTACACACTGCTTATCAAAGCCATGCTATGGCAGCATCCCATATAAAGCAGAGGAAGATGGGCATGAATGTTAGTCCAGGGCCAATCTTCCTCAGCAAAAAAAAAGGAGGATTGGCAACAGATGTGAGCTCAGGGCCAACCTTCCTCACCAAAATAATAATAATAATAATAATACAATCTCATTTACAGTTGCAACAAAGAGAATAAAATATCTAGGAATAAACTTAACCAAAGAGGTGAAAGATCTGTACACTGAAAACTATAAAACATTGCTGAAAGAAATTGAAGAAGACACAAAGAAATGGAAAGATATTCCATGCTCTTGGATTGGAAGAATTAACATAATTAAGATGTCTATACTTCCTAAAGCAATCTATAGATTCAACGCAATGGCTATCAAAGTTCCAACATTTTTCGCAGAAATAGAACAAAGCATCCTAAAATTTATATGGAACAGCAAAAGACCTTGAATAGCCAAAGGAATCCTGAGAAAAAAGAACTAAGCTGGTGGCATCATACTCCCTGACTTCAAAATATACTGCAAAGCTATAGTAACGAAAACAGCATGGTACTGGCACAAAAACAGACACACAGATCAATGGAATACAATCGAGAGCCCAGAAATAAACCCACACACCTACGGACAGCTAATTTTTGACAAGGAAGCCAAGAACATACAATGGAGAAAGGAAAGTCTCTTCAACAAATGGTGTTGGGAAAACTGGACAGCCACACGCAAAAAAATGCAAGTCAACCATTATCTTACACCATCCACAAAAATGAACTCAAAATGCATTAAAGATTTGAATGTAAGACCTTAAACTATGAAACTTCTAGAAGAAAACATAGGCAATACGCTCTTCAACATCAGTCTTAGCAACATATTTTCAAGTACCATGTCTGACCGGGCAAGAGAAACAATAGAAAAAATAAACAATTGGGACTACTTCAAACTAAAAAGCTTCTGCACAGCAAAGGAAACCATCAACAAAACAAAAAGACAATCTAACAACTGGGAGAAGATATTTGCAAACCATATATCTGATAAGGGGTTAATCTCCAAAATACATAAAGAACTCATGCATCTCAACAGAAAAAATAACAACTCAATTAAAAAATGGGCAAAAGACCTGAACAGACATTCCTCCAAAGAACATATACAGATGGCCAACAGGCACATGAAAAGATGTTCAACATCATTAACTATCAGGGAAATGCAAATCAAAACTACAATGAGATATCACCTCACGCCCGTCAGAAGGGCTATAATTAACAACACAGGAAACAACAAGTGTTGGAGAGGATGTGGAGAGAAGGGAACTCTCACACAGTGCTGGTGGGAGTGCAAACTGGTGCAGCCACTATGGAAAACAGTATGGAGCTTTCTCAAAAAATTAAGGATAGAACTACCATATGATCCAGCTATTCCACCGTTGGGTATTTATCCAAAGAACATGAAAACATGAATGTGTAGAGATACATGCACCCTTGTGTTCATAGCAGCATTATTCACAATAGCCAAGACTTGGAAGTAACCTAAGTGCCCATCAAGGGACAAATGGATAAAGAAGATATAGTATATATACACAATGGAATACTACTCAGCCATAAGAAACGATGAAATCCAGCCATTTGTGACAACATGGATGGACGTTGAGGGTATTATATTAAGCGAAACAAGTCAGAGGGAGAAAGTCAAATACCCTATGATCTCACTTATAAGTAGAAGATAAAAACAACAAACACTTAGAGGCAGAGATTGGATTGGTTTACCAGAGGGGAAGGGGGGAGGGAGGACAGCGAAAATGATGATTAGACACATGTGTGTGATGATGGATTGTAATTAGTATTTGGGTGGTGAACATGATGTAATCTATGCAGAAATAGAAGTATAATGATATACACCTGAAATTTATACGATGATATAAACCGATGTTACCACAATTAAAAAAAAAACAAAATTCCTCCTGACTCTAAGTCAGAAAATTTTTCTTCTTTTTTTCTAAAACTTTTACTGTTCACATCTGGCAATTATTACTGAATATGGTATATAGAGAGGGACCCAATTCCATTTTTTCCACTTCAATAGTTAATCATTCTATCATCATTTATTAAATGATGCCTCTTTTCCCCCTGTGATCAGCCATCTCATTACATATGTTTCCATATATGTGTGTGGATATGTTTGGAAGTCCCTTATCTTGTCCTATCAGTCAATTTCTCTATTCCTGTGCCGTTCTCACACTGTTTTAACTACTCTAGCTTTATAATGAGTCTTAATATCCAGGAGAGCAAGTTCCCCCCAACACCACACACACATACACACACACACACACACACACCCCTACACACATTTTTCTTCTTCAAGAGGGTTTTAGCTATTCTTGGCCTTTGCTCATGCACACAAATATTGGAATTAACTCATTGAAAAAATGTCAAGATTTTATTAGAACTGCTTTGGATAAACAAATAGGAGAAGGAACAGTCTTGGGTCTCCGAATCCAGGAACATGGGGTATATTCCGATTTATTTAGATCTTCATTAATGTCTTTTAACAAAGTCTTATCGTTTTCTCCACACAAGTCTTACACAAATTATATTAGATAGATTCCTATTTCCTGTTTACTTTTTATTATGGAAAACTTAAAATATATACAAAATCAAAAGCATATGGTAATGCACTCATGTACTCTCCTAGCTGTAAATATTATCAACTCAAGGCCGTTCTTATTTCATCTATGACCTCACCTACTTGTCTACCTCACTCCTACCCTTGCCCATTAGGAAAGTTTCTGCTAAGTTATAGGGGCACAGATATTCAAAACTGGTACCTTTATTATGAACTGTGGGCTTTGACATAATAAAGAGTCCTTTGCTTTCATTTAATGCCTTTTGAACTGACTTCTACTTTGTCAGAGGGCAAAATCACAAACCTATTCTCTTTTTGTTTGCACTTTTGCCTAGGAAAAAATATCTGAAAAGACTATAAATATTGGTTATTCTGGATAATGGGATTTTGAGTATCTTGTTGTACTTTTGGATATTTTTGTAGTTTTCTGTATTGGCTTAATTCTAATGGACTTTTTTTCTAATAAAAATAATAAAGTCATAATTCTGAGAAAAAAATGCAAACTGACCCTCTTTTTAGATGTGTCAACTCAGTTTTTCTAAAAATATATCACTTACCACCAGCTTCAGTCAACTCTACAATCTTCTCAAATTCTGATTTAGAAAGGTAAACTCCAAAATTTTGAAGACAAGTATTCAGATCTTCAGAATCAATACTTTTATCTTTAACTTCATCAACAGCTTTAATGATATCCGTCAACACTGAAAATAAAGGAATATGCTAATAAGTATTAAATATGTTAAAAGGAAAACAGCAATAGTAAGATGAATTTTAGTTCTAACAATATATTAACAAAAATATTAAAAACTTCAGAAATGTTATATATGAAAAGCAGTACCAGAATATTTAATAATACTAAAAATCAATAAGTTACAAAATCAGAGTCAAAAATATAGTATTTTACTTTGCTATAGTCTCTGTATCTAAGGAAGTGCACTGACAATACCACAAGTAAAAACACATAGGAACAAAAATATGCAATTTCCCCCAATTAATTCTCTAACAATTTAAAATTCCCTAGTAGTCTGTTTCTCAGTAGCAGACACAGAATTAAAAAACCCTCAATTCCAAATGATAAATTGGGATATGATTGTGCAGCAATACATGGCTCAGCCCTTGGTAAATTCATCTTAGTTTATCTTCTGTAAACATAAGTATTATTACTTGGAAATAACTATCCTACATGTCTTTTTATAATACTTTGGAATTGATGCTTTACAAATGCAGTATTCCCTCCATTAAATTTAAACTGATAAATTTTTACTGCAATGAAAGCTTTCTTGAAAGAAAATACTTACAATATACAAATTAAGAGGCCTGATAGACGTGTATGTGTGTGATGTGTGTGTGTATGTGTATAAACTCTGGAACAAATTAAACTCAAATAGGTTTTCTCTACTAGAAGATTAAGATAGGTAAAATGAGGAAGCTGGGCAGTGGAGGGAACTAAAATCATTTGCAGTAATTAATCTGCTTCAAGCAGTCACTGGAAGTCATTATGGATTGTTAAACAAAGAAATGATGATCAAAATGATGTCTTAAAAAGATGATTCTTAAAAAGATGATTCTTACATGTAAATATGTAGAACTTCCAAGATACATGTTCCTATCTTGAGAAAGAAATTTTTAGGTGAAAGGAATTCTCACTTAAAAGTTAACAGCTGAGGAGTGATGTTAGCAAGATACTTGAGTAGGAAGCCCTGAACCCTTCTTGTCTCCACAAACACACTGATTCAGCAAAAATTCATGAATAAATTCCCTTTGTGAGAAATCAAAAACTAATTGAAAGGCTCTTGCACACCAGGAGAATGCAAAACCAGACTCGCTGAGGCCAACAGAGAGATCTGGGACACTCTCTTGCTGGAGACCCTTCCCCCAGTGCTGCACCATATGATCTGGAAGAAATCACCTAGCTCCCAGCTTTACCCAGGGAGGGAAAGGGTTGGTTTACATATCCAGTAGTCCAACTTTTCCAAAGGACTTCCCCAGAAGACTGGCTACTGTCTTGCCAATCTTGGAGCTCTGATGGGTCTAGCACAGTCTAGTTGTCTGGGGAAGAATAGAGGCAGTGGCTTGGGCCAGTAGATGCCAGTTATCCTCCCCTCTGCTCAGCACAAAGTGAGCAGATGAAAAATTCCAGCTCTCAGCTTCCTCCTGGAGAGGGAAAGAGTTGATCCATGCATCCAGCACCCCAACTTCTTAAGGGCTTCCCAAAGAACCAGCATCTGTCTTGCCAGTCATGGAGCCTGGGGAAGGAAAGGGTTGGTAGAAACTCCGAGAATATCTGACTGGGCTGATTGATGCAGGTCTTCTCCTGGATAAGGCCAGTCTGGAAGACTGGGAAAATGCCTGCCTTCTCTAATGCACAGACACCAACACAGAAAGTCTCATAACTCTCATAAAAAAATAAAAGATAGATAGATGGATAAATAAATAACTCTCATAAAGATGCTCATTGAGATCAAGAGAATAATGCATGAAAAAAGTAAGAACTTCACACAGAGCTAGACAATATTAAAAAGTACTAAACAGAGGGCCAGTGTGGTGGCGCAAGCAGTTAAGTGCACATGCTCCGCTGCGGTGGCCTGGGGTTTGCCGGTTTGGATCCCGGGCAGGCACCAATGCACTGCTTGTCAAGCCATGCTGTGGTGGCATCCCATATAAAGTGGAGAAAGATGGGCACGGATGTTAGCCCAGGGCCAGTCTTCCTCAGCAAAAAGAGGAGGACTGGCATGGATGTTAGCTCAGAGCTGATCTTCCTCACAAAAAAAAAAAAAAAGTACTAAACAGAAATCCTGGAGCTGAAGAACACAATAACTGAAAAGTTCACTAGAGGTGCTCAACAGCAGACCAGCTCAATCAGAAGAAAGAATCAGTGAACTCAAAGACAGGTAACTGAAAAGAATTCAGTCAGAAGAGCAAAAAGAAAAAAGAACGAAAAAGAGTGAAAAATGTTTAAGGGACTTATGGGACAGCATCAAGTGGACCAATACACATATTATGGGAATCCCAAAAGCAGAAAACAGAGAGAAAGGGACAGAAAATCTATTTAAAGACATATGGCTGAAAACTTCCCAAATCTGGGGGAGGAAATGGATATCCAGATCCAAGAATCCCAAAGGACACCAAATAAGATGAAGTGAAAGAAATCCACATGGAGACATATTATAATTAAATTGTCAAAAGTCAGAGACAAAGAGAGAATTTTGAAAGCAACATGAGAAAAGCAACTTGTCACATACAAGGGAACCCATAAGACTATAAGTGGATTTTTCAGTAGAAATCTTTGCAGGCCAGAAGGGAGTAGAAGATATATTCAAAATGCTGAAAGGAAAAATTGCCAACCAAGAATATTATATCCAGGAAAGCGGTCCTTCAGAAATGGAGAGAGAAAGATTTTTCTAGACAAACAAAAGCTGAAGGAGTTCATCACCACTAGACCTGTCTTACAAGAAATGCTAAAGGGAACTCTTCACACTGAAGTTAAAGGATGCTAATTAGTAACATGAAAACATATGAAACTATAAAACTCATTGGTAAAGGTAAGTATATAGTCAAATTCAGATTAATCTAATTCTGTAATGGTGGTGTGTAAACCACTCACTCTAGTATGAGGTTTAAAAGACAAAAGAATTAAAAGTAACCATAACAAAAAATATGCTAAAAGATACACTATATAAATAGATTTAAATTGTGACAACAATAGCAAAGTGTTGGGGGAGAGTTAAATGTAGTTTTTGTATGTGATTGAACTTAAGTTATTACTAGCTTAAAACAGACTGTTACAAGATATTTTATGTAAGCCTGGAGGTAAGCACAGAAAGAAAACACCTATAGAAGTCACACAAAAGAAAAGGGAATCAAAGATGATCAATACAAAAAGTCAAAATACAAAGGAAGACAGCAAGAGAAGAAAAGACAGAAGAACAACAAGACTAACAGAAAACAACTATCAAAATGGCAATAGTAAATGCTTCCCTATTAATAATTACTTTAAATGTAAATGTACTAAACTTCAATCAAAAGTCATGGAGTGGCTAAACGGATTTAAAAAATAAATTAAAAAAACAAGACCCAACTATATGCTGTCTACAAGAAACTCACTTTATTTTTTTTTTAATTTTTTTTTTTTGTCAGGAAGATCAGCCCTGAGCTAACATTCATGCTAATCCTCCTCTTTGCTGAAGAAGACCGGCTCTGAGCTAACATCTATTGCCAATCCTGCTCCTTTTTTTCCCCAAAGCCCCAGTAGATAGTTGTATGTCATAGCTGCACATCCTTCTAGTTGCTGTATGTGGGACGTGGCCTCAGCATGGCCGGAGAAGCAGTGCATCGGTGTGCGCCTGGGATCCGAACCCGGGCTGCCAGTAGCGGAGCGCGCGCACTTAACCACTAAGCCACGGGGCCGGCCCAAGAAACTCACTTTAAATTTAAGGACACACATAAGTTGAAAGTGAAGGGATAGGAAAAGATATTCCATGCAAATGGTAATAACCATAAAAGAGCAAGGGTGGCTATACTTACATCATAAAAAATAGATTTTTAAGTCAAAAACTATCACAAGAGACCAAGAAGGACATTGTATAATGATAAAAGGGTCAATCCAGAGGAAGATATAAAAGTTATAAATATATATGCACCCAATATCAGAGCACTGAAGTATATAAAGCAAACATTGACAGAACTGAAAGAAGAAATAGAAAGCAACACAATAATAGTAGGAGACTTCAATATCCCACTTCCAATAATGGACAGAACATCCAGACAGAAGATCAATAAAGAAACAGAATATGGATCTAATGTACAGCACGGTGAATACTGTTAACAATAGTGTATTACATAATTGAAAGTTGCTAAGCAACTAAACCTTAAATCTTCTCACTACACATACACATACACGAAAAAAAAGGTAATTATGTGAGGTGTTGGAGGGGTTAACTAACCCTATTGTGGTAATCATTTTGCAATATACGCATGTATCAAATCATCACGTTTTACCCTTAAACTTACACAATGTTGTATGTCAATTATATCTCAATAAAGCTGGGAAAAAAATAACAGAGGACTTGAATAACACTATAGACGAAATGGACCTAAGAGACATATACAGCAACAGAATACACACAATTTTCAAGTGCACACAGAACATTCTCCAGGATAGATCACATTACATCACAAAACAAGTCTTAACAAATTTAAGAAGATTGAAATCATACCAAGTATATTTTCTGACCACAATAGAATGAAACTAGAAATCAACAGCAGAAGGAAAACTGGAAAATTCACAAATATGTGGATTAAACCACACAATCTTGAACAACCATTGGGTCAAAGAAAATCAAAAGAGAAATGAGAAAATACCTCAAGACAAATAAAAATGAAAACGCAACATATCAAAAGTTATGGAATGCAGCGAAAGCAGTACCTGGGGGAATTTATAGTGAAAAATGCCTAAATTAAAAAAAAAGAAAGACCTCAAAAGAAAGATCTCAGCTAAGTTTCTATATTAAGGAACTAGGAAAAGAAGAATAAACTAAGCTCAAAGTTAGCAAAAGGAAAGAAACAGCAAATATTAGAGCAGAAATAAATGAAATAGAAAGATAGAAAAAAAATCAATGGAACTAAGAGCTAGTTTTTTAAAAGATAAACAAAATTGACAAACCCTTAACTAAACTAAGAAAAAAAGAGAAAAGACAGATAA